TGGCACAGAACTCCTTGAAGTCGCCGCTGGTCCAGAGGGCGTCACAGTCGCCCCGGACGCACTTGATCGCGGTGCCAGCCTTGTGGGCGGCGTCCACGACCATGCGCTTGAAGACCGCCAACGCCTCCGACTTCCGCCGCATGGCATAGCAGACGATCCAGCCCGTGGCGGCGTCCACACCGAAGAGCATGTAGTGGTTGCCGCCGATGGTCGCCGTGTACCCGCCGCACATGTCGATGTGGAACATGTCGTTCGGCGCCCTCTTGCCGCGGTATCCGCCCCCCTGCTTCGGCACCGGTGCCCTCGTCCCCCGCGCCGGCAAGCACCACCGGCAGCTGTCCATTGTGCCCGTGAGGGTGATTCCGTGTTGTTTTGCGGATAACCTCAAGATTGGTTCGGACAAGTGGCCGGCACGGTTGTGGAACGTGTTAATATCCATAACCTTTGTTGCATTGCCGACATGGAAAGGCGTCTTACCCGGACCCAACACAGCCAAAAGCACGATCACACTCAGCACCCTCCCAAACATCTATCATCCTGGCAGAGGATTCTGCCGAAACATCCGTCACGCGGGGGGGTTCAAAATCCGAATCCAGAAGGCAAGTCAACATTTCAGATCTCCGGGCATGCATAAAGATGTTCAACATGCAGGAATGGGCCCATTCTCTCGAGGGGTCACTACTCTCGGCAGTAGAGGCCGGCTTCACCAGAAAACTCTCACGCGCAACATTCACTTGAGACACATCTTTGTGGGGAAGGCGGGAGGCGAAAAGGGAGTCACTTGACACTCCACGGATGAATCGTAGTTTACCGTGCAGCAGTTGAGTTCCGCTAGGGTTTATGCGGACTTCATGCTTGTGCGAAACTTTCCAAACCGAAAAAAGATTGAATCCACACCCGGGCACAAACAAAACTTCTGGCACAGTAATGTCTATGTCTTCCTGTTTCCCGTCGGCTCCGATTTGGTGGAACCGAAGGTCTAAGCTTCCTACAGCTGCAACCTTGATGAGAGCCGAGTCTCCAATTTGAATAAATTGTTCATCCTGGCCCAAGTGGCGAATGTCGTACATGTGATCTATCTGGTTCGAAATCATCGCGCTCGCTCCAGAATCGGCCTGCCACTGCTCGCTACCCTTCGGATTCGGCATGTACGGTTGGCATAGAAAAGCTTTGTCTACTGTGGGACGCTTGGTGACACGAGCTACAATTAGCATTCCAGATACATCAGAGGCAGCAGGCACAATCTTATCCGGCTCAGCAGTCGCGATCACAGCAGGCATAGAAGGCACCCTCACATCATGGACAGCATGCATTATCCCATCAGACTCAGTACTCACAACCACGTCAGGCACAGCGGGCACAATCGCATCAGTCTCATGAAAATCGGTCTCCTTCTCATAATTCTCGAACATCGCAGACAGACTCGGAGAAGCAACCCTGTGCAAATCTTGCTCAGAAAAACAGTGATTCCTATCGTGGACTCGCAAGCATTTCAGGGTCAACACCGGGTACAGCAGGTACGAAAACGTCAGACGCCTTAAAACCAAACGCAGACTCAAGAAAAGAATCAAACTTGCCTCGAGGGCACACACTTCGTGCCATGAAGAGACGAAGAGGGGCGTCGCCAGCAGGAGGTAGAACGTCGCCTGGATCTGGAGAGGGAGAGGAGGAGGAAGAGGCCGCCTGAGGCACGCCGTGGTACTGCTGCTCCTGCTGCTGCTCAAAACTCGCCTGCTGCTGCGGGAAGGGCGCCGGCTGCTCCGAGACGTAGAAGGCCTCGTTGTAGACTCTCGGCTGATACGCGTCAGGACCTGCAGCAGAAGGGCAGTATGTTACGTTGGCCTCCTGCTGCTGGTGCGGCCCGCCGTCTTCGGAAAAATAGCCGAAGCCAAATCCCCCGCCGGCGTTGCCGTAGGAACCGCCGCTGTGGTTCCCCCCGTGAGCCGCGAGCCCATACCCGTATCCCGCCTCGGAAGGTGATGGGGCCCAGCTTGGCGTGGGTGCCGGCGCCGACGTTTGCTGCCATCCCGAGCTGCTTTCGCCACCGAACGAATCTCCGCCCCCGATGGCCAGGTGAGCCGGAAAAAAGGGCCGCGGGACGCTGGCAAGCTGCCCTGCAGGTACGTTGGCCGGCGGGAAATTGCCCCCGCGGCCGCCGCCTTGCCCACGGCTTTCGTAGGGGCGAGGCCCGTAGCCGCCGTAGCCCCGTCCCCCATCGTTGCGCCCCTGCATCTGCCCCCCAGCTCCGGGTCCTGGCCCACGCGGCGGCCCCTGAGGCGCATGAGGGTGGCCCTGACTCCAGCCCGCACCGTGTTGGAATTGGTACGACTGCTGTACTGATGGACCACCAACCCGCCCCAGGTTCTGCGATCCGCCTCGTGGATGAGCGGCCGCCTCGGCGTCCCTCCTGCCGCTCAAGTACGCGCTGATCTCGTTGTAATTCGCCAGGAACTCGCTGCGCAACTTGTGACAGTCAGCGGTCGCGTGCGAGGTGTTGGGCCCGTGGTACTGGCAGATGTACGGTCCCAGCTGCTGCTGCTGCTGCTGCTGCTGCTGCCGCTGCTGCTGCTGCGGTGGCTGCATCGACGCCTGTGGCTGCTGCTGCTGCTGCTGCTGCTGCGGTCCGCCGTGACCCATGCCGACAATGGCTGGTCTCCTCTGCCCGCCGCCCCGGCCCATGCCGGCAGCGACGAGGGCGTGCCTCGTCTCCTCTCCTCTCTCTCCAGACCTCCGCTCGTACCTCTGCTCGTGCTCAGCCGTCCTCAACGCCTCCTGCATTTGTGCACTCGACAACATGGGGTGAAAAAGGACACGCTCTTTAATTTTCTCAAATTCTGGCAAAAAACCCCGAGCGATGTGCTTGCACATGGACACTTCAGCACGATTATCACCGTATGACACCAGTCTCATCCAAAGCGCCTTAGCTCTACCAAAGTAGTCCATCAAACTTTCTCCATTCCTCTGACACAGCACATTCCACTGATCATCAAACGTCTGTCTTTCCTCGTTTTTACTGCGTCGGTAGTAGTCCAAGAAAATTTTGTACCCGGCTTGCGGACTCTCCGCTGCGAGCAATTGCCCTTGAATAGATTGTGCCGTGATCTTCGACAGCATGAAAATCCATACCTTCCTAGACTGCTTTACTCTCTCCTCACCAAACGAACGTTTCATCCAATCCACATTCACTTGAGCTGCAGCTACAGGAATCTCTGGGCCTCTCATTGCGTCAACCACTCCCTCGTTCTCCATCCACGCTTCAAACGCACTCGTGAAAATCCGCAACGCAACCTCCATCGATCGATTTTTGAGGAAATCATCACTCCAAACAGGGACCTCGACTTTGTCCCGCTGTTTCAACTCTACTGTCTGGGCGCTAGACGTGCCTGAATGGGCACGATGCCCCTGGTCCTGGGAGTTTGCCGTGAAAGCATGCTTGAGAAGGTCGACCAGCTGACGCATCGAGTCTTGCTGATCTCCCCCCGCCGCCGCTCTCCCTCCCAGATTGTCTTGTTCTTCTGCATCGGCGGTGAACGAATAGTTGGTTCCTCCATCGCCGGTGCCTTCTCCCGGGGAAGGATCACCATGACCTTGTCCCCCCGGAGGCTGTCGTCCGTCTCCATCCGGCATCTTGCGCGCGTAGACACAGCGGCCACTCTCTTGATCGAAACGCTAGCGTGTTGAGTAGCTTTGTGCGTGGGTGCCTCGGCGCGGGGTCCCGTAGTGGGAAACAAAAGGTGCCAGCAGCTGGGTACTGCCAACGGTCAAAATGTAGAAACTATCCGCGGGCGTGAAAGCCCTTCTACGTGGTGGAGCGTGGAAGCTCGTGTATAATATAGTTGTGGCGTGGAAGCCGGGTGGCGTGGTGGCCCTGATGTAAAGGTATATGTAGGGACGTGGGAGTCCTGAAGGCGTGGAAGCCGGGTTGGCGTGATAGCCGGAGTATGGGCGTGGAAGCCGGGGTTGGCGTGAGAGCCGGAAAAAGGACTTGATTATACACAGAAAAAGGAAGTGAGGAACCACAAGCCACGCACACAAATTCCGTTGTAGACACCCATACCCTCAAACCTGCAATATGTGATAAAGTTGGTACCACCAAATCTAATCCATAGCAACCATTGAACCCCCAAACTCCCCGCTCCATCTGCTCGGGAAATTCTTGCTCGCAATAATCTGTTGATGCTGTGAGTACATCCAACAGTGTTGTTGATGTGCTTGTGCTGTCGTCTTCACGTTTTCCGACAACTTTCAGATGTACGCCCCCGTACCTCTACTTGTATTTGGAGTGGATTGTGTTTGTTGATTTTCTGTCCCTGTTGAAGGTTGATTTCGCGCGCAATGCTGCTGGTGTCGAGCATGATGGTTTGAGAAATAGCGCTGTCGAATATGGTTTGTTACTCCTTTCCGCCAGTTTTTCGTCGTTTCTGTAGCCAAGTCCGCCATGTGTTACTGCAAAGCAATCTCCTCCATCTTGTGCTTTTGACTGCGAATCATGCTGGTTGAGGCCCAGTATGAACAACGTTCGAAAAACCGAATTAAAAATCGAAATCAAGCCCTGATTGGTCGAAGCCCAAATTTTGGGGTTTGTCTGGGTTTGCGGCGAGCTCACTTTTTATTTCTGGCTTGGACAAAAAATCATTGCTTGGAGGAATTATCATAACACACGTAGTCTGAAATCAAGAATCCGAATCAAAAGTATTTTTTTGTTCACGGCCAACACAGCCGTCTCGATTTTTGGTCCTTCGATGTTGACTATTTTACCACGGTCCTGCTGTTGTGCAACCTCAAGCTCAAGCATGTACGCAAGCGCCCCTTCCATAGTTTTCCCATCAAAAGGGGCCCGTCACGCTCTCACCTTCACCAGTTTCTCCGCCCAAACACGGTAGTCGCGGCCCGCGTTCAAAGCAGGCAATTTTGGGGTGAAGGACCAGGTGCTTGTTTCATGGGTGCTGCTGTAGCATCGAGAATAGGCTACTGCCGTGTAGGCTCCACCGATGAGGTTTGTGTGTTTTCAACCAATTTTGCCCTGTGTTTTTGTGACAATCTGAACGTTTTTGTGTAAACAGAAAATTTCTTGGTTGCGGGTCCCAATAATGTACCTCTTATACCCAAACTCCCGGGTCATCTTGCCATCGTTTCGTTCACGATCGCACCCCCACACCCTCAGGTACGGCTGCTCCTGACCGTTACCGCGGACAGCGACGCCGACGAGTGGGTGTACGGATACCCGGACTTCCTTCCCCAGGATTACTACAACTCGTGCGTCGGCACCACGGCCGCAGGCACGGTGAGCGACACGTGCGTCGTGTGGGGCACTGTGTCAGGAAGTGGTTTCCCGGACGACGCTGGGGCGTACACCTCCCTCTCCGGGTGAGTTGGTGATGCCGGTTTGCTGTGCATGCAACGGGTTGGATATGGTTCGGTTGCCTCTTGCTTCGAGCCCTTCGTTGAGTCCACTCCCGCGTGTTGCTTGGCTCTGCGGATCCGGCGTCATAGGAGGGCGTATGGAAGGTCTCGCTGTTACCGTGGTGTTTCTTCGTGGATGCTATGCACTGAACCCAAGTGAACGTATGTGATTGGTCATCGGCAAGTTAAACAAGAAAAATATGTTTTTGGCCCAAATGTCTGGTCGTGTCTTGTACTCTACAACATCGCCGGCGGAAGTGCGGGCGTGCCGATAAGTCGTTCATTTACGCTGTAGGGTAGGTCGTCCGAGTACATGAATTTTCACTTCACTTCTTTCGAGAGCAGTGACAGTCAGTGGCAACTTCACTTTTTCGAGAGCAGCGACAGCCAGTGGCAACTCGTGACGTTGCTTGTGTCGAGGCCTTGATATGATTGTGCTCAGACCGGGGGGATGAGGATTATTGCAAGACAAAGGGCTCGACCTAGACTTTTTTCTTCATTTGTACAGGTGTTCCAACCCTGGATGAATGCTGTGTTGTATGTAGCAGATAGTCAAAGGCCGTTCTTGGCTGGACCAAGCAGACAAGAGACCTGGAAAAGGGGGCGTCGTAAGCACCGTGTTCACCAAATATGGCCATTAAACTACTACAGAGGAGCACTGTCGTAGCGTTGTCTTGGTAAATATTGAAACGTGGGTGGTTCCGTCCGTGCCCAACCGCATGCATTCATTGATCGATGGTACGATGATTGTCCAGGTACTACGTTTCCTTCGGAGGCCCTTCGACGATCGGCTTCAACAAGGAGGCCCTTTCCAACGTGCAATACCTCACCTACGCCAACGGTGAGATGGTCCGACGACATGCTTCCTCAAAATCTTCATGTGTTTGTTTTCTCCGTGCGCACGGTTTGATGCACGACTTAGGAACCATTATTGAAAGGCGATAGGCGTTCAGTTTTGCCCATGAAGGGTCTTGTTTCCGGTATATGTATTTTAGGTGTTTGGTTTGTCTCTACTGTCGTGACTCAGATACGAGACGGAGGGCACCTTGTACGAGGGGGTTCCAATGTAAAAGGGTCGAAAGTGGTTGTCACGGACTCGACCCGCTTTGTATTGTTGAGTACTCCCTTGCTTCTGTATGAGAGGGGGCTCCGGTAAAAGAGGACCAAGCGCCTTGGTCACACCACCCTCTTGTGTCGGAACCACGACTTAAGGTCATCTGAGTGTACCGCGGCAGACAACGGGTACAGGTCGTAGACTTGCATTCTTTGCCTTACGACACCTGCTGCGTCATTCCATGATGACGCCATTTTTTTGCCGAATCATCGTGCCAATTTGGTGTTTTTGTGCGTCCCCGCCGCCCCGCCGTTGCCGCCTCGTAGGATTCACCGCCGAGGACGTGGCCGCTTTCCCCAACGACTGCGCGATTTCCGGCGAGCTGACATACAACCGGGCATCCGGCGATGACCCGTGATTTGAGGATTGCGTTTGAATGTGGGCTTGCCGTTGTGGTGCTGCGGCATCGACTATTGGGTGGCCTAGTAACGTTTGGTGTGATGCAACGTGGAGTACACAGCGACTTGGTTGGCTGTTAAACCCGATACCTCTCCTTGGAAGTGGATTCTGTTGGTGATATTCTTCGATGGCTTAGCGCCGTTGGCGATATGTGGTTGTTCAGAATTGCTAGGTTCTGGGGACGAATCTCTCCTGCCCAGGCGATAGGGTATTGCCACGGATCGATTAGAGATGATTTGTACAGCCTGCGGCCATTTCGGTTGATCTCATGTCCTGTGAGGTTTCAGGCAACAATTGCTCCATGAAGTTGATCCCTTTGGACATAGAATGGTCGTTGCCGCACCACATTAGAGGTAGATGTGCTGTTTGGTTTGGTCGTATCCTCGCGCGCGCGTGAGCAAGTGCTACAAGTTGTTCATGTGTTTTTGCGAGGTAGGACCTCCCCGTGCGTGGTAGGAAAGGTGTGTGCGTTGGTTCGGGATTTGCATGAGAAGATCGAGGAGCGCCTGTCGTGTACGGTTCGCGACAGGGGCTCTGGGGGCTACACGTGAACCTTCCCTACATGTATTATTTCTTTGTAGTTAATATGAGAGATACATTGAGATCAAGCAGAGGGAGTTGGTCGCGAGAAAATGTGTTCGGTTCCTGGCGTATGCCGCTTGTGCTCTTGTCAAGTTGTTCGACTGCCACTGCCACAAACATTACGCCGTGGGCTAGTAGAGGTTGATATCTTGTCGCGTGGTGCCCGGCTCGCCCCGTTGTGTCCACTGTTGTGTCCACTCGACAGCTTTTCACGAGCGCACCCACGTCTTCTCAAATATTTCCCCATGCCGAGGAGGAAAGCAAAGTCCTTGGTCGCCTAGCATGCATGTGTAGTTTTATGCGGGTGTTTCGCTGTCTGAAAAGCCAGTTGATTCGTTCGACAGCCGCACGCATGCTTTGATTTACATCAGGCTTGCTGGCATTTCTTCCAGCCTCTGTTTTGCCCCAAACTCCCTCCTCGAAGCTGAGCAGTACAACAGCAGAAAAAACGCAATTTACTCCCGCGAAAAATGGAAACGGAACAGGAGTACTTATTTTAATTTTGTATTCATCGACGCCGCAACACCACGGCATAAGAATTGGACATGTTTTTTCAAGCGCGATTTGCGTTCTAATTTCTTAATGCCCTCAAAAAAAGCCCCTCCGCCTAATCGCAGTTCAAAAGCCCGGAAAGGTGCACTCCCAACTGCCACGTTACTTGGGTAGTCTAGATGTTAAATGGTGATGGTATATATAGTAAGCGCCACCACGTGAGCTACTGCTGTAGTCATTCTGCCTTCGATCCCGCGACCCCAGTAGCAGATCTGGGTGTACCAACACGCGTGTCGCTGCTCCATCGTGTCCTGCTGGCATGCTGATGTCGAGGTTTATGTTGAGACTCCAGCAGCCGGAAAGTCGACAGATTATCTTGGATTAAGACCGGAAACCGTTACACTGACATTGGCCAAAAGGCCTCAGATCTTGGTCGAGCCTCAAGTTGCTTCTTCCTCTCGCCACCGTCGATCACGGGGTCTGCCTATGTCGCGACGTATTGCAAGATGCGCACCTGGCTGTGACACCCTCTCCGCCCTCCACCGCCGGCGAAAGAATCTGGTTCCCGCGCTGTCGGTGGCCGCGAACTGACGAGTCAACGATCAGTGGTACGGTACTGCTGTGTACTGCTGTAGGGGGCGTTCAATAACGCCGGTATGTGCCCGGCGCATCGACCGGTTCTATTCAAAAGGGACCGGCGCTATTCACTACTACTGTACACATAAATATCCAGCGTTATTGACACCCACCCAACCATTGCTTTGGTTTACAACATTTAGAGCGAGAAACCTACAAGAGGGAGGGGACGGAGGGCTTTGTCCCCGAATTGGTCTAATTTTTCTGTAGAGCCGCATCGCCATACACTCCGCAATTCCTTCCAGAGTTGCACGCGTCCTGGCCTACTAGATTACCCCTCTCGCGATTTTCGTGTCGCAATACGCGTGCAAATGCCTGTGAGAGCACGATCTTTCACAAGATCTACCGGTACTCTTAGTTCGTGGTACGCACAATTCGTGGAGAGACGAGAGAACTGTAGAGCCGCATCGCCACAATCTCCACAATTCCTTCCGGAGTTGCACGCGTCTCCTGGCCTACCAGATTACCCCTCTCGCGATTTTCGTGTCGCAATACGCGTGCAAATGCCTGTGAGAGCACGATCTTTCACAAGATCTACCGGTACTCTTAGTTCGTGGTACGCACAATTCGTGGAGAGACGAGAGAACTGTAGAGCCGCATCGCCACAATCTCCACAATTCCTTCCGGAGTTGCACGCGTCTCCTGGCCTACCAGATTACCCCTCTCGCGATTTTCGTGTCGCAATACGCGTGCAAATGCCTGTGAGAGCACGATCTTTCACAAGATCTACCGGTACTCTTAGTTCGTGGTACGCACAATTCGTGGAGAGACGAGAGAACTGTAGAGCCGCATCGCCACAATCTCCACAATTCCTTCCGGAGTTGCACGCGTCTCCTGGCCTACCAGATTACCCCTCTCGCGATTTTCGTGTCGCAATACGCGTGCAAATGCCTGTGAGAGCACGATCTTTCACAAGATCTACCGGTACTCTTAGTTCGTGGTACGCACAATTCGTGGAGAGACGAGAGAACGAGGTTCGACGATGAAAAGATGTAACGGCTTGTTGGTTTGGTCCGGGGTAATTGGTGGACTCGCTCTCTCGCAAAGGCCTCTCAACAATCTCGACACACACAAAATATCAAAATATACTCTCGCCAGCTTCTCGTTCTCACACCTCCTGCACCGCACACACACAGTACGCAACATGATAGCGAAGATCACGAGTGCCGCCCTCGTGGCACTCACACTGGCGGCGGTCGGACTTGCGGAGGAGTCTACTGTAGGTCCCTCGCATCGGGTGTGTGGGGTGCCTGCAAGTCCGGCAAGGTGAAGGTGTGTGTGTGTTTTTTTATTTTTCTTAATACAGTATCTTAAAATGACACAACGAATCCATCTCTATCATAGAAAAAGAGTCAGAGACAAACTAGCAATGAATTCATAGCGTCAGAAAGTACCTGTATGTCTACGATTTCCCAGACAGCATATAGGGACATCTCCCCTGCGGGTAACAGGCTCAACAAAACAGTTTGGTATTATTGTGTGTTTTTATTATTAGGATCGACCGCGCTAAAACCGGCTGACCAATGAAAAGACGTTACTGTAGTGCCAGCGGGTAAAAATCAAGGTCCCTGGAAGGGGACCAAAATTCGAAAATGCGCAATGCGCTAAAGGCGAATGCCAATACGACTCTCTCTACATATTCTTCACGTAGACACACATCTCAGCTTCACAAATGCCCTCGCTCGAAGCTAGGAAGCCACTGATGCAAAGAACGGAGGACAGCAAAAAAAGGGTTAGTTCAAGCCCAGCCGACACCAGGATATCGTGGTATGCTGCATCTCCCAATTTGATAATCGTACACTCCCAAGATCCAACAGTCATCGTGTCAGCAGCTAGATGACTCAAACAGAATAACAACACACACACTGCCATAGCTCCACACATGCCCTCGCCCGAACCTAAGAAGCCACTGATGCAAAGAGCGGAGGACAGCAAAAGGGTTAGTTCAAGCCCAGCCGAAACCAGGATATCGTGGTATGCTGCATCTATCTCCCAATTCGATAATCGTCCGCTCCCAAGATCCAACAGTCATCGTGTCGGCAGCTAGATGACTCAAACAAAATAGCAACATATGCACTGCCATAGCTCCACACATGCCCTTGCCCGAACCTAGGAGGCCACTTCAGGTGAACACGTCCAGGAATCCAGTATCCGCAGCCGCAGCAAGGAGTACTGTGTAGCAGTAAATAAATCCAGGTTGTACCCACCCGTTGTCCAAACAAAGATTTGTGATTCCGTGAGAGAAGGAGATACCACCGCCGTCGAAGGGTCAAAGGCACTGTCTGCCAGATGTAGACTGTGTGATAGATGGTGCTACCTATGTGTTCTTAGCCTGCCCGCCCGTGAGGGTCGTGACGAGGCCGCCGTGTATGTGTGTGTGTCTTTATTGTTAGCATCGACCGCGCTAACCGGCTGACCAATGAAAAGACGTCAGTCTTAGTGCGGTCAACATGTGTGTGTGTGTGTTTTGTGTGTGTATGCCGTGAGGAATGGTTGGGGACTGGGAACTTTGATGAGGTTTCGAACAGCAGGGCGGGCTACATAATCTGTGCCACCGGAATCCTCCCGCACCAAGGTATCAACCAACCCCCTCTCTTACCTTGGAGTCAAGAGCCTCAAGGGTTTGGTGCCCTCTTTTTCTGCGGCTTGTGCGGGCAAACAACAGCGGAACACGCTGAGACCCTACAGGGCTTACTTGTACCGCGAAGGGGAGCAACACCAGCGTAGATATGTACTCTGCAGTTTTACCACACGCAGTAGCTAACATTGCAACGGGACTACACATCATGTACAACACTGACAGAGATCGACTGTTCGTTTGTGCTTGTTTCTCCGCCGCCGGGAAACAAACTTAAGTCTCCGTACACAAAGATCCACGCAAGTCGACATGGCACGCGCCTCACACGGGTTGTAATGTCGTACACTTGCTTTGCAGCGGCCTCGCGGCAGGTGCTCCAAGCCTTCGAAGTCTTGAACTCCAAGCTTCTTTGATTTTTATTTTGATAAAAAAAGTAAGTCCCCCGGGGACTTCTTCCCAGACAGAGGAACTTCCATAAAACCAAAGGGCGTCGTCAGGAGGTAGCAGATATTCGACCAATCAGATCTCGATTTTGATTTTGATATTTTCGATTTTGATTTATGGCACTTCGTTAATATACGACCCCATGTGTTCTCGTCAGTTCTCATGGCTTCTCATGGCTTCTCATTGATTCCCGTCGCTTCGCATGGCTTCGCAGGGGCTCTTACAATGGCATGGCTTCTTATGACCTCTCATGACTTCTCATGGCTTGTCATGAGTTCTCATGAGTTCTTATGACCTCTCATGACTTCTCATGGCTAATCATGAGTTCTCATGACTTATCATGAGTTCTCATGACTTATCATGAGTTCTCATGACTTCTCATGCTTCTCGTGGGTTCTCATGAACTCTCATAGGCTCCCATAGAGGGTCTCATCAGTTCTCATGGATTCTCATGGCTTCCCGTGAGTTCCAGTGGGTTCGCATGACTTTGCATGGCTTTGCATGGCTTCTCACGGGCTCTTATGGCGTCTTATGACTTCTCATGACTTCTCACGAGTTCCCATGACTTCTCATGAGCTAGCACGGGCTCTCATGAGCTCTCATGAGTTCGCATGAGTTCTCATGAGTACTCATGCGTTCCCATGGCCTCTCATGAGCTCTCATGGGCTCTCATGAC